CTCTAAAAGAAAAATAAAAGAGGCTTTTTTAATCCAATCTAATAAAAATAAATGTATTGCTCGTGCATCTGTAGATGTTAGTAATGTATGGCAATCGCTTCTTTCATTTTAAAGAACATTACATAAATAAACATAACATACGTGAAATTTAAAAATAATCATACAGAAAGTTTGGGCTTTTTGGTTTTACCTTATTAAGTAATTATCAGGTAGTAATTGTTAATTTTGAAGTTTAACTTAATATAATGTCATTTTAACAGAACGTCAACGATTTCTTGTAGACATATCTGTTTTAAAAAGTAAAGTGTTCTCGTATAGTTCAATTTAAATATTTTAAATAGTTTTATTTCTTGATTCTTTATATTTTTTTGCTTCCGATGACGGGAGGATAATGCAATTTTATCGTCGTGTATAAAATAATATATTTTTTCATAGCGAGTTACGTTTTAAAAAATATTCAGAAATTATTATTTCAAGGAATTTATTACGAGTAGAAAAATATTGCGCTGGGAGTGCGTTGGATTCTATGTAATTTGACAAATAAATAAAGCGGTCTCTTTAGTTGTCAGTTTTGAGTCAATATTTTTTAATTCTTTTTTGTGTCGATTGATGTTTGAATTGGAGCCAGCAACGACTCAAATCGAAATAAGTAAATTACCAACAGATATTCAGGCTGAGGCGACAACCGCTATATCCAAAGTACTTCCATTTATATCCCGAATAACTTTTGAAAAGGAATAATTTTTTTTTCAAAAATGGAAGCAATTAAAAAACGTGCAAGAAGAAATAAAGTTTTTAACCTATCCTCGCTGTGAAAAGAATCATTTAATCTACCCTGGCGGGTAAAGTACTATTTTATCTACTATTTTTGATAGATATAAGGAAATTTTAACAGTTTCTATATATCAATATTTTGAGGTGCCCGTTTTTCGTACCAGTGAATGTATTTATATTATAAATCTGAATATTCAACCTCATATTTTTTTCAAAGATACAAAAGTTAAGTCGCTTATTTGTTATCATGATACACTCTGTAAATTCCTCCGGATGAATGCATAAATTCGTCGATATTTTATTTCCCTAACGAAGAAAATCCAGGAGTCGGGCTTTTCCGATACAAGGACGGGTTTCCTCGATAAGGGTATGCTTAATGGTGCGTCTCGACGCCTGTATCTAGCGTCGCCACGCTCCAATCTAGGCTATACGACGCCAATCCAACCGTGTTTGATGCAAAAATAGAAGAAAAACTAGTTTGGAACGTGGAAAAGTGTCATACTTATGGAAATTAATGGTTAAACAGTGCATTTTTGTTATGAATTTCAATAGAAAATATATTTTTTCCATAGCAACTGTTAAAATTGCCTTATATCCATCAAAAATAGTAGATAAAATAGTACTTTAACCTTAATTAATCTTTTGGGTCGACGATAAATATTCATTCAGTGAGATTTGGTCATGTCAGATCACACCACAAGAGACTACAGAGTGTTTCTATAATTATAGAAATAGAATTGAGTTTTCTTTTTGCAGAATTTGTCACATTTCTTATTCTTAATAAAATCCGAAGAAAAAAAAGATCTAATAAAGATCTTTAACTAAATCTTTTTCACGGCCTTTTCTAATTGTTCTGACGGTTCATTACCATCGAGAACCTTATTAATTCGATTGATAATCCCTTTTCAAACTATTAATTTCGTCAATTTAATACCCTTAGTCATTCCGGTCCCATCCGCACCACTTCATTTCTTAAACAAATTAGTTGGAAAGTTCTTTCTGGAAAGTATCTGGATCGATGGCATCCCGTTCATCATCTCTTTCTATCACGTCGCCCTATTAAACTCCAATCATTTTCCGGTATTCCTTCCAGTGGCGGCTCGTCAATAAGGGCATATGTTCACCTAAACCGCCATATCTAATGCCTCTTCTCAAAAAAACAAAAAATATTTTTCTCCTACTGAAAATATATAATATAAAAAATTCTTTGAGGTCCATTTCATTCTTTTTTTCCATAGCTACTATTAAAATTGCCTTATATCTATCAAAGAGAGTAGATTAAATGATACTTTAACAGCGAGGATATATTAAAAACTATTAAAAACTTTATTTCTCCTTGCACGTTTTTTAATTGCTTCCATTTTTGAAAATTTTTGTATTCCTTTTCATAAGTTATTCGGGATTTAAATGGAAGTAGTTTGGATATGGCGTTTGTCGCCTCAGCCTGAATATCTGTTGGTAATTTACTTATTTCGTTTTGAGCCATTTCTGGCTCCAGTTCAATCAGCAATCGACACGAAAGAGAATTAAAAAATATTGACTCAAAACTGAACATCTTAAGAGACAGCTTTATTTATTTTGTCAAATTACATAGAAACCAACGCCAACCCAGCACAATATTAGTACGTGCGCGCGCTGTCTCTGTTCTGTGAGGTGGTACTAAAAGGTACTAACTACTGAAGATAGAGAGGCAGTAATCGATCTCAAAACTAGATTATTTTATTCTATTTAACCTGAAGACCGCAGAAAAAGTCTGATTTTATAGCAGTACAAGTTTTGGTTCTTTTTTTTAATTTTAATTTCAATAATAATAATAATTATTGTAGTGCGCAGTTTTTATTCTTATAATTATGTTTTTTAAAAAAAGTTAATATTTTTTTTTATTGTACCGTTTGAGTTTTACTATTGAGAATTTTTTACTTTCTAGTTTTTTTAGCAAAATGTGTGTAACACCAAAGGTTCAACCCTCAACTGTAATAGTTTTTTTACTAAAATAAAATCCTTTAATTTCCAGCTTTCGATTGACCATTTGATAGCCCCAAAATAATTCTTTATTTAGGCTAACAATAAAATACATACCAAAATTTGTTGTCGAATTTTGGCTCCCCCCTCCACAGAAACATTGAATTATGAGCCGCTGCTGACTTCCCCACTAATGCCCCCCCATTTTGGTCTTTTGTGCCCCCCGAGAAATAATTCGGATAACTTAAATTAGTTTACAATAATTTCCGGAGATTTTGGACCGTTTGGGTTCGCTATTTTCAGTCGGGAATGTTTGGTAATATTATACAGGATAAATCTTAAATAAGCGAAAATATTTGCTAAACATTTTTTATTAAAAGTATTTGCTATTAGTTTTTTTCTCACAAAAAGGTGTCGAAAATCGACAACTATGAAACTATGAACCCTTCCCGGACACAAACGGTACATTGTGAGACAGGAAATTCTAGAGAGGAACAAGCCCTATAACATAGAATACAACATTTTAATGAACAGTGCTTTCCATAAAATCAATAAAATGAAAAATATACGAAATAATATACATGTATTGATTTCTTTCGAAAATAGACAACTATGAAACTATGAACCCTTCCCGGACACAAACGGTACATTGTGAGAGGAAATTCTAGAGAGGAACAAGCCCTATAATATAGAATACAACATTTTAATGAACAGTGCTTTCCATAAAATCAATAAAATGAAAAATATACGAAATAATATACATGTATTGATTTCTTTCGAAAATCGACAACTATGAAACTATGAACCCTTCCCGGACACAAACAGTACATTGTAAGACAGGAAATTCTAGAGAGGAACAAGCCCTATAACATAGAATACAACATTTTAATGAACAGTGCTTTCCATAAAATCAATAAAATGAAAAATATACGAAATAATATACATGTACTGATTTCTTTCGAAAATAGACAACTATGAAACTATGAACCCTTCCCGGACACAAACGGTACATTGTGAGACAGGAAATTCTAGAGAGGAACAAGCCCTATAACATAGAATACAACATTTTAATGAACAGTGCTTTTCATAAAAACAATAAAATGAAAAATATACGAAATAATATACATGTACTGATTTCTTTCGAAAATCGACAACTATGAAACTATGAACCCTTCCCGGACACAAACGGTACATTGTGAGACAGGAAATTCTAGAGAGGAACAAGCCCTATAACATAGAATTCAACATTTTAATGAACAGTGCTTTTCATAAAAATAATAAAATGAAAAATATACGAAATAATATACATGTACTGATTTCTTTCGAAAATCGACAACTATGAAACTATGAACCCTTCCCGGACACAAACGGTACATTGTGAGACAGGAAATTCTAGAGAGGAACAAGCCCTATAACATAGGATACAACATTTTAATGAACAGTGCTTTCCATAAAATCAATAAAATGAAAAATATACGAAATAATATACATGTACTGATTTCTTTCGAAAATCGACAACTATGAAACTATGAACCCTTCCCCTGGAAAAAATCGAAATGAAAATCGAACTTCTACACCCTGTATCTCCGAAACTAAGCATTTTAGGACATACATTTATACGAACTTTTTTACTTATTTTTATGAGCAGAATATGCAGCCGAAGTTTCCGGAATACAGTTCGGACCACCCTGTACATATACTTATTAGATTAGATATTAGACATCAAAAGAAATAGACCGGATGGCCTATAAATTCAGGCACTATAAACCTGATGAGATCACAGTGAAGCCCATCAACGACAGCGCTGTGTCTATTCCAGGCGAGCACAGTAAAAAAACTCTTGGTCAAGAATATATACATGATTACTGCTGATTGTGACGCTTAGGAAACGCAAAGCAAGCCCTATTCTCTGATGGTGTCATATATACGCATATAAAATGAAAGACACTTTGAACGATACGGAACGAAACGACACTTCTTTTACGAATTTCTTTTGAGTGTCGTATAAACGAGATCAGGACGACGCGACGCGACGTTTCAAATGAGCGCCTGCGCGATCAGCAGCGTCGTGACGTCTTGCGACGCTCGGTGGTTTAGTATCAACGTTGCCGACGCGCCGTACACTTGGTGAATCACCGAAAGCGTGACGTTGGAGAGTCAAAAAGATCGCTACTAGGGACCGCGAGATTCAAAACTTTAAAAAATAAATTCAGAAAATATTGTTTTAATTGTGAGTTAAGGATAATTAAAAGAAAAAAATATACTGTGTGACATTATATTAATAAATCACATTCGATATTATGAAAATTAAAAATAAGTTTAAAAAATAAACTTTGTAAAGTGATTTAAAGAATGTTGTGGACTGTTTGAAATAAGTATTGTGCTTAAAGGAATATATTCATTTGACAGGTTTGTTTAAAGTTTAACACATATTTTGTTATAAACATATATATATATATAAGCATTTTATATCAAAGAAATTAATATTTTCCTCTTAGAAGCTTAAATTAAGATTTTTTTTTATTCTTAACCCTCTGAAAGAATTCAGTCTATACTTGCCGTATTTAGACTTCTATATTCTATTAGTTAGTAGTTTTGAGAGCCTAGGAGATCTATATCTAGTCCCGGAGATCTTGTCTCACAGGTAAAAAATAGAACGGGGTTTTCTACCTTTAAAACATATTTTAGTCTCTACAAGACCCAAAACAACTGAAATTTACACGAATTGTATACAGGGTGGGTCTTAAATAAGTGCAAATATTTTTAGGATTTGTATATTTGGACAAAACTGTGCTTTTTTTCGCGAAAAAAAGAAAATTTTTCAATTTTTTTTAGTTTTTAGTTAAAAAACATAATATCAACATAATATGGTAACATGGATAGTAGATTAAATTTACAAGAAAGAAAACCCAAAAAAGATCCAGTGGTTTTCAAAATTTAAGTAAAAAATATTTTTTTGGGGAAATTTTCAAAGTAAAATAACTTGGTTATTTTGGACTTATTTGAAAAACGGTAAAGAAAAAATACGTTTCTTTTATAGAGATCTACCAGCCCTGAAAATATTTGCACGTATTCAAGACTCACCCTGTATAATTTAATGTACTTTTAGGATATGCATATAATTCTTATTAAAAATACGAAGAAATTAGAATAACTTTTAGTACAGTCCGTAGTCTGTATTTCTTAAGATCATGTCACAAATATAGTCATATGGTTCTAGTTTCTGTATTTACCGTTTAAAAAATTACTAAAAATCGCCAGAAAGAACTCAAACTAAACTTGTCGTATGTAGAATCTTATATTCTATTAGAATTTGTTCCATTTTGAGCTAAAATACTACTAGTTTTGAGGAAGAGCCCAGTAGTGACATGGTAGTTCCGTATATTTTTTCTTAAAGCTAAAAAACCTCAGTAGTTAAACTCACAGTAGGTATTAACATTTATAAATAAAATAACAGTTCCTGTATAACATTTTCAGCTCTTTCTAAGACTTTTTAATAAGAAAAAGTTACCGAGGTTCAGTTGTAACTATTACAGACTTAAAACTTTCTTATTAAAAAACTTATTACAGCATTCTTTTATCTTCCAACATTTTTTAATATAAAATACAAGACATTTAAGTTACTTTTTTAAATAAAAATGAAATAAAAAAAGGATTTTAAGGTACAGTATTTTGTAATATTCCGCAAGAGAAAAATGCAATTAATTAGACTTTAAAATGGGTATTTAACTATTAGAGAAAAGTAACTAAATATGGAAAACCATTTAGTTTTTGTGTTATATAAAAAAAGGTATTGTAAATAAAAAAAAAATTATTCTTAGTTATTATCAGTTATACAGTTGTTTGTAACTTAACTACTGTTTTCTGCTACATACCGGGTGTTGCATCGTCGAGAGGGACATAGTAAATCCCATGTAAATTTTAATGGGGTCAATTATTGGCTTCCCTAATTATTTTAGAGAATAATTCTATTTAAGTTTATTGAAGAGCACTAAAACCCACATTCAAAAGAATAACTTTAGATGTTTTTGATTAGCCCGTTTACGAGTTATCGCCGATTTCTTTTTAAGTATTTCTCCTTTCTTATGGCCCTGTATTTACTTATGAGCACCAGTCAAGGTAAAAGATAACTGTCAAATGAAGTTGTCATTTCAGAAATTTATCTATTTAGTGCTTTATTATTATTATTAAAAACTCATAACTACATCGAAAATATTAGCCAAGAATTACACTACCGAAGAAAAAGTATTGATGATTAAATGCTATTATCAAGGAAATAGTTATCCAAAGGTGTCGGACATGTTTGCTGCTCTGTATCCGAATAGACCGATACCTGGAAAATCTACAATCGCAAGGAATATTCAGGGGTTTGAGACCAAAAGTACCCTAATAAATAACTGCAGATATGAAGCAAGGCAGGAACAAAGAGAAGATGCAAGAAATGATACCGACTTGGAAGTTTTATTGTGCGTGGAAGAGAGCGATGGAAAGATCAGCACAAGGAAACTTCAAGATAAAATAGGAACAGATCACACTACAGCGTTTCGAATTTTAAAACGACATAAATACTATTCCTTCAAATATGAAAAGCACCAAGAGCTACGAGATGGGAACGAAATACGGCAGCAGGCGTTTTGTTTTGATATGATGGAAAGAGCAAACACGGATAGGGAATTTTTAAAAAAACATATGTTTCACTGACGAATGCATATTTACCTTAAATAATGAACCTAATGTTCAAAATTATCGATATTGGAACAAAGAAAACCAATACAGGGTTGTCGAAACAAGAACGCAATATCCACAGAAAGTAAATGTTTGGGCAGGGATATACGGACACAATAGTATCGGGCAATTATTTCTTACTCGAAATTTAAATGCAGAATATTATTTAGAACTACTCGAAAATCATATTTTACCTGCTTTACATGATGCCGCTAGGGAAAATCAGGAAGTTTGGTACCAAATGGATGGCTGCCCGGCACATAGTACCCTGGTTGTTCGGGAATATTTAGACAATAGTTTTAACGGAAACGTTATTGGCCTAAATCATACAGTAAATTGGCCAGCAAGGTGTCCTGATATTTCGCCAAATGATTTCTTTCTCTGGGGCTATTTAAAAAACAGGATTTACAAGGATAAAAAATACGCACATCTAGACGAGTTAAAAAATGCTATTTCTGCCGAATGCAATAGAATTTCAGTTTACCAACTAGGAATATTTGAACATCTTAAATCCTAAAGTTCTAAGAATTTAATAGTACCTAAATTACTAAGTTATTGAATATTGTAATAATACTATAATTAACCTTGTAATTCATTAATTTATTTTATTTCAATTCATATTAATTTGTATTTATAAATACATCTTTACGATTTCCGATGTAGGAATGAGTTTTCAATAATAATAAAGCACTAAAAAGCTAACTTCATTTGACAGTTATCTTTTACCTTGACTGGTGCTCATAAGTAAATACAGGGCCATAAGAAAGGAGAAATATTTAAAAAGAAATCGGCGATAACTCGTAAACGAGCTAATCAAAAATATCTAAAGTTATTCTTTTGAATGTGGGTTTTAGTGCTCTTCAATATACCTAAATAGAATTATTCTCAAAAATAATTAGGAAAGCCAATAATTGACCCCATTAAAATTTACATGGGATTTCCTATGTCCCGTTCGACGATGCAACACCCGGTATAATTTATATGGTTTTGTAACAAATTGTTCGCTATTTTATGGCAAATGCTGAAGCTCTGCAAAACTTAATCAAGCCTTAATAAAAACTCGTTTGTTTGGAATTTTGAGTATGGCTTAACACAGTATAGATAGATAGATATAGATAGATATGAACAATACAGTGTAATAGACCCTTAAGTTCAAAAACTGGTTAGTACCTCAGTTCTTTGGACGGTCATCCTCTTTAACTGACCGACAAAACGTAAAGTAAAACCGTATGTGTAGACTAGACTTCAGGATTTATTTTTTTTTTCGATACTATATAAAAAATAAAATGCGACCACTACAATAAAAGTTATGTTTTATAAAAGAGAGAACAACACTAACACAACCACATATTTAACACGAATATAAACCTCTCCAAAAATAAAATAAAAAATATGAAATTGTAAAATATAAAATACATTTTTTTCGAGTTGTGTTCGGTTTGACTATAAATTTTATACGAACAATACAGTTGGGTGGTTGATTAAAATCTAAAATTTCCATTATTTTGTACTAAATCCCTCAATAATATTTTTACTATTGTCTAAAATTTAAAAGTATACAGTGTTTAAAATTTGAAAACTGTATTGTTGCGTGTATCTATGATAAAATTATTTGAATTTTATTTTTTGTATTTATATCAAGAGCATAATAAAAAAATATGAATTTGTAGATAATCATTATGGTTAAAGATTTTTTCGAATTTTCACTTATAATATCACAAGAGCTTAAATTATTTTCGGAAATTTTTTTGAGGGCACGAATATTTTGAAAATTATCCCGAGTCGAAGACGAGGGATAATTTTCCTAAAATATTCGTGCCCGAAAGAAAATTTCCATGAATAATTTAAGCTTGCGTGGTATTCGGTAAGAAAATTTCACACCTAAATTTGAAAAAAATATTAATCCAACATGACATTTTAAAATAATTTCAATTTGTTAAGTTGGCCAAGGTATTGCTAAAACTCAAATGGGTAATATTTCAATATATAGACATTGTAGTTCATTCACATTATGATTGTAGATCTTATGTTTACCTTTTCAACTGTCAAAAAATTTCCACTAAAGTTTCGTGGCGCCTCGAAAAAATTTCCGGAAATTTTTTCAGTTGCCATGGTAACTAGTCAACATTAAAGCATGTTATTGGTTGAAAAGTAGAGGTGTGAAATTTTCATGAAAATACTTCTGGGTTTTTCAACACTAGAGAAAAATCTACAAAATAAAATAGTATGCCGGGTGCGTCTCAAAAGTGGCTCACCCCCTATAACTTTTTTATTTTTTCAAATTAAAAAAAAAACGAGATTTGGTATTTTGATATATTATGACATAAATTAGAATTGATTGACGTATTCAATTGTTTTTGGTCACTTCCTGTTTCACGGAAAATGACTACGACTTTTGATTTTTAAATGACACCCCCGGTATTTTTTTACTTTATTTAATAGAAAATTAAGTGAATAAAATTGATATAGAAAAATGGCGAAGAAAGAAAAAATACTAACAGAAAACCGACCAGAATTCCAATCTGCAGAAGAGGAAGACAACCTTGCGGGCACTTTAACGATCAGCGAAAGAGAAGTATATCTAAGTCTCAAAAAAATAAAAAATGGACGGTCACCAGGTCCTGGTAACATTGCAGTAGAATTGTTAAAGTATGGGACCGAGAAATTGCGCAGAGCTGTTCAAC